TTCCTTGGTCACTTCAAAATTCCCACTCTAACTGTGAGAACACAGAGTGTCCTGTCCAGGGAGGAAGACACATCTGCCCACAGCTGCTCTGGGTTTTCCCACTGCCTCGATCCCCGCCCCCACTCACTTTACACTGCAACCTCTATTATCAGACCCAAATGGGTAAAATGATGCCCGCTTTCCCTTGCCATTGGTTGATTTGTGAGATTTGTGCCTCGCAGAACCACTTGCATGAACCTAACTAAATTTAAAACTTAAATTATCTCTTGTTCATTGGAGGCTCAGTCATTACTTTGAACTTGATCAGTAGGGAAAAAATTCCTTTAGGATATAACTATGATTAAAATCTCCCAAGTCCTCTATGCCACCAAATGACTCTTCGGGAAGAATCCTTTGATGAGGCAAGTATGAATTAACCGAAAACACCAAGATTAATCCACTCCTGGGTATAGACATTATGGAAAAAGCAGTTTCAAGATGTCTCCAGTTTTGCAGACCGGCTTGCATCTGGCTTTCCTGAAGGACGCCTGCTGAGCAGAGGGAAAAGCCTGGTTGGCTCAGCCCAGCCTCCAGGGTGTCCCTGCAGCCATGGGGTGCCTTATTCTCCAGGTGGAGCAGCGGAAATGATTTGATGGACGGGACTTTCACTGTAACTGTTCTCCCAGCAAAGCTCCTCTCTGGGGACCTCAGACTGGCACCTTTCACCGTTGTTAAATTCACTTAAGATAAAAGCGACACCAGGCGAACGACAAGGGAAGAGCCATTAAGGGCTGAGTGTAAGCCTTGACTGACAAGCAGGCTCTCCAAAATGCTCAGCTGCCAGCCTAGACCAGCAGGAATCACTAACCCGAATGCCTTCCTTAGCCAGTGCTTGACAAACAGGCAGGGCCCAGGTCAAGCCTACAGGGCCTCGGTCCTTTGTTCCCACCACCTCAGCCACTGGGAGCAGCCACCTACACCACCAGGAAAGAGGGGACCCCTGCCTGCCAGGTGAGACCCTCTCCTTTGCCTGCTTTCAGGTTGGTGCCTGAGGATGAGCCATGGGCTGTAGAGCTGTGATTCCCTCACTGTGTAGTTGGGAGAGACAGGGTGAAGACTGGACTCAGCAAACCACAGAGAATGCATAGGCTGCCTCTATAGCATAATGCAGAGCCTGTTTTCCCCTCTGAGGACAGAGTCGTGTTGACTGTCGTGTCTTTCCTTGGGACTGTGAACAAGGCTAGCCTTTGGGGCCCTTTGTTGAGATGTGCCACCACGTATCCTGGCCCATGCAGGGCTCTACAGCAAGGAGTTTTTGTAAACAACCAGCTAAAGAAGTTTTAGGAAAATTATCATCATCGTCGTTGTCATCATCATTATCATTATCATCATCATCATCATCATAAGGTTTTACTACGGAGCCCAGGTTAACCCGGAATTTTTGATCTTCATACCTCCATCGTCTGAGTCCTGGGACTACAGACAGACATCAACATGCCCGACAATGTTAGGAAATTTTATTAAGGTAACTTCTACCATTGGAAGTTTCTGGAAAACATACAAATAGAAACCCCAGAGAAAATTGCCATCACACAGTAAATCCACAGTTGAAATACACAGCTGCTCCTAAGCGCAGTGTCTCCTAATACTTGCTGGATTCCTTCTCCAGCTCGCCCATGTCTTAGCTGTGTGACCTGGAGAGAGTTACTTAACCTCTCTGTGCTTTCATGTCTACGTCTTTAAGATCAAGTAGAGGGCCTCCTGCCTGGAGTCACAAAGAACATTCAATGAGTTTGAAATGTGAAACCCAGGCTGAGGGATAGCTCACCCACTCAAGTATTTGTTGCACAAGCATTCAGAACCCCAGGACTCATGTGAAAAAGAAAGAGAAAGAAAAGGTGTGCATGGTGACGCTCATGTAATTGTAACCCCAAGACTAGGGAGGAAGAGACAGACAGGTCCCTGGGGCTTGCCGGTCACCTAGCATAGCCAAATTAATTGAAGAATTCCACTGAAAATCTCAAATAAATAAGGTGGATGATGGATGGCACCTGAGGAACAACCCGAAAGGTTGACTGCTGGCCTCCACAGGCTTGAGTACATGCACACACCAACATACACATGCGTGTCATAAACACACACACACACACACACACACACACACACACACCATGAAGCCAAGCACACTGTAAATAATAAATGCATAAGTATTGCTGAGCATCAATTTCCACCTTGCCTTTGGCTGTGATTGCAATTCCAATATAACACTGCTTCTCTGTCTGTGGTACTTTGAGCCTGGGGATGATCTAATAGTGCTTAACAATGCTTTGGGCTACCCCATCTACATTAGGGGTCCATTATTGGTAGCTAGTGGGCATATCATACAGCCTTGCTCTCTATTGCAAAGGATTCTGAAACACCAACAAGTGAGAAGGTTGAAATCCCTTCAACAGATTCAGGTATACTACTTGAAACAGATTCTTGCCCAGTTGCTCACTCTGGACTCAGCTCTGGGTGTGTTCTTTGGGGGACCTGAAATGTGGGCATGTCTAACATGTGCTTAGAAACACAACTTTCCTCCTCCCCAGCTGCTTCATCACTTGCTGCCTCCATCCATGAGATGCCCCCTTTGGAGGAATAACTATCCTGCATCGGTGCCACTCTGGGAGTGTAGACAGTCTAGGATGCAACTGTCATGAAGGTCCTGAAGGGCCCTGTTGGTGACAGTCTTTTGTCACCACAGTTCTTCAATTTCTTTCTCTAAAGTCTCTCCCAATGCGGGGGAGAAAATCTAGCTGGTTCTTGTAACCCATGTCATCAAAATCATCCCTTCTCCTTTCCCCTCCATCACTTCAGTGGTCTCCATCATCAAAATGTCTCTGTTTTGTTGTTTGTTTGTTTTTGCTCTTTTGGGGGCCCACAACCCAGCTCCTGAATAAATCACACATAGAGGTTTGTTCTTACTTCTGAATGTCCAGCCTTAGTTTGACTTGATTGCCAGGTTTCTTTCACTTTTCCCATTCTCTTACTTCTGTGTATCTTACTCTTACTCCTACTCCATGGCTGTGCAGCTGGGTGGCTGGCCCTTGATGTCCTCCTCCTTCCTCTCTCGTTCCTTGATCTTTTCTCCTCCCAGATTTCTCCTTCTATACATTTTCTCTGCCTGCAAGCCCCGCCTATCCTTTCTTCTGCCTCGCTAATGGCCACTGAGAGCTTTATTAGACGATCAGGTGTTTTAGATAGCCTCAGTAACACAGCTTCACAGAGTTAAACAAATGCAACATAAACAAAAGTGACACACCTTAAAATAATAGTCTACAACACTGTCTTCCTCCAACTGAGATCTGGTAGACTTAATGCATATTGTATGGTCTCATCAGGTTGCATAGTGGAGCAATATTCTTTCCACTTTACACAAATTTACAGAAGCATAACTTTGAAAACCAATATTGTGATGTTACCACTTCCACCAAGTCTTGAATCCTTCAATAAGCAAAACAGCATGGATGTAGTCAGAGGGCACGCAGTTGTCTTCCACATCTCAATTTTATTGACCACTGAGAATTTTGTTTTATTGTTATATAATATTTTGGGACTCTTTCCGCTTTCATTAGACAATGAGGTTCTTCTTTCATATTGAAAACTAAGCGCCACTGTTCTGCCTTGTATAGCAGCTTCCCACGCTTATTTAGTTATTTTCTGAGCATAACTTCCTAGAATATAGTTTAAGGATCTTTTGATACATAAAGATTTTTTTTGAATTGCAAGGGCTCACACTTAGTTATATCCATTGTCTTAGTTAGGGTTTATATTGATGTGAAGAGACACCATGATCCCAGCAATTCTCATAAAGGAAAACATTGAATTGGGGTTGCTTAAGTTTAGTCCATTATCATCATGGAGGCATGCAAGTAGACATGGTGCTGGAGAAGGAACTGAGGGTTCTACATCTTGATCTGCAAGCAGCAGAAGGAGACTGTGCCCACACTAGGTGTAACTTGAGCATAGGAGACCGCATAGCCTACCTCCATATTGACACACTTCTTCCAACAAGTGTTGGCCACACCTACTCCAACAAAGCCACATCTTTTAATAGTGCCACTCCCTTTGGGGGCCATTTTCTTTAAAACCACCACATTCCATTCTCTGACCCTCAAAGGCTTGTAGCCATATCATAATGCAAAAATACATTCAGTCCAACTTCTTCCAACAAGGCCACACCTGCTCCGACAAGGTCATACTTCCTAATAGTGCCACTCCCTATAAGCTTATGGAGGTCAATTGCATTCAAACTACCATACCCATCATAAGTTGAAAATATTATAAATTAAGAATGTTCTCTTAAATACACTAACTTACAAAAGGTATCAGCTAGGCCAGTAGCATCTTTTTCTCCATAAGTTAATTTGTTAAAAGATAAGAAATGTTTGGGATGAAGCAAAGGCTTATGTACATATTTATTTAGATAGTTGCTTATATTTATTTATTTGTTTGTTTGTTTGTTTATTTAGTTGATTAGTTACTTAGTTAGCTAGCTAGCTAGTTAGTTAGTTAGTTAGTTTATATTGTATTTGAGGTGTCCCTCCCAGTGGCCCCCTCCCTCCATTTTTCTACTGGCCTAAAGGTGTCTGTGTGCCCCTCTATAGTAAAGATTCAGTTTTTTTTTCTAGCAGTGAGTATGGAAATAACTGCAGTAGGATCCCCGCCCCCATGGCTTGGTGCAAGAGCACAGAAGTGCAGTAACAGGATTCCTTGTCTTGGTGCATAGGCACAGAAACAGGTGTTGGCTGGTTTGGGGTTAGGGTTGGACTCCCAGCTCTCTCTTTCTTTGTGATATAACCAGGAAAGGAAACCCATTGCATGGAGGGGAAATGACCTACGTTTCAGGAAAATGAAAACTTGATGCTGGGGACAAAGCCATACAATGAAAACAAAAAACCAATGGGATCATTACATGCCCCACTTCTCTCATCCCGGGGCCCACACCCACACAAACACCCCAGATTAGCAGCCCAATGCACTGTGAAATATCGGCGTTTTCCTCTGCTGTTCACGTGACTGATGGGAGCGATGGCACTCTGCAGCAGGCCAGCTTCAGCTGTTTAAAATTACTGTGTAAGCCATCAGAAATCGGGGACTGTTTTTTACCATAGATGAAGGGCATGGTGGCTGATTTTATGTATCATCTTCAGTGCATCGTGGGCTAGCCAGATAGTTGACTAAACCCTGTTACAGGCTTGTCTATGAAGATATTTCCAGAAAAAAAAAATTAGAATTCGTACTGGTGGACTGTGTAGGGCAGATGGGGGGCTTGAACAGGACAAGAGGCTGGAGGAAAGTTGAGTGAGCTTTGTCTGCCTGAGTGAGTTGGGACATCTATTGTCTCTGTGTCTCATCTTCAGACTAGACTACGTTCTATGTTCTGTACTTTTGCCTTCTTGGCTCTCAGGACTATGCGCCAGTAGATGGAAGATCATGGAACTTCTCAGCCTCCGTAATCTCTGGAGCCAACATGTTAAATGCACGTGTTATTTATACCTATTTCCGGTCCATCAGCTTCCTCTGGAGAAGGTAATACTGTAAGTTTGAGGGGTTCCTCTTCTACAGCAGTGTCTTCCCACCAGAAAAAAAAATCAATGTCTGAATTGGCTTGAAAAGTGAGTGCTTCAGTTACTGGAATGTTCTGCTTAACTGAGAATTTCCATCTGCCAACATCACATGTGGGATAAACATGTTATCACTTAACACTGAATTACACAGAGTGTAATCCCATCTTCCTTGGAGAATTTCAAAGGCACTCACAGTACTTCAGGATCATTATCATAATCTCACTTCTCAAGGCAGAGCTTCAGAGGATGTGTGGGGAAACCGTGGCAAAGAATTGTCAGCACGTAGAGTTTCATTGTTTCTGTTTTTTAATGCGAAGAACTGTGTTGACCAAGTTCATCAAGACAGGACATGTCCTGAAAGATTCTTTTTTGGGTAGTATGTGACAACAACTCATTTACATGTCATTTACCTCTTCCTCATGAAAGCAAAATCAAGAATAGTAAGCTGTGTCTGGTAATCCCAACAATGCCTTTACTCCCAACACTAGGGAGGCAGAGGTAGAAAGATCTCTGAGTTTGAGGCTTGCCTGGGCTAAAGACTGAGTTCAGGACAGCCAGGGCTACACAAAGAAACCCAGCCTCAAAACACCAAAGTAGCAACAACAGCAACAAAGACTATGTAAAAGTTCCTGTCTCCACTTTTGAAGTCAGCGTTCCTCATGAAGATATTTCTCTCTAATTTTAGCATCAGAGACGGTGTTCATTTGTGACGTCTCCCAACATGCACCAATAATAAAAATAAGACTACTGATAACAGGAAAGCGCTGCAATGAAAAGAAGTCCTCTGCTTCTATGAATCCAGGGAGTGCGGAATCTGGAAACAGACCCAGCACTATTCCTCAGGGGCTCTTGCAGCGTTGGCCTTGGGAAAGTCAATTACCCTTTCTGAAGCATGTTTTCCTCTGGATGATGAAAAGGCAGTGGTTTCTAAAATCCCTTTAAGGTCTAAAATTTCTATGATTTTATGCCTTGGCTCCCTTCTTTTGAAATTATGTTCTTTCATTTTATTGAACTAAAGGAAACTATATTTCTGAAGTAAAATGAGGTTGAGTGGGACTTTTCTCAGTGTCCTGGTACATTGTTGAGAACAAGGACTGAGAAGTATCTCCTCACTTTAAAGGACTGAAAGTCTCCTACTCAATATACTGAAGGGAGGCAGCACCAGCCCACCTCCCTCAACCCCATCAGTATCCAGAAATGAATAGATAACAGCTTTGGAGTGTCACATTGGTGACTTAAGAGTTATATGGGGGGGGGGGGGTTAATGTAGAAAGTCACAGCTGGTCAAAGTGCAGAGACTATGACCATGGAGTGCTCAGTCACAAATGGGACATCTGTATCAAACGCCACCATACAAAGCTCAGGGACCATCTCGGAAGACAGGGCAGAAAACTATAAGAGCCAGAGGTCAGGAAAGACAAGAGAAAAAGTTCTTCTGCATATGACAGGACCACTGCACTAAGGAGATCACAGCAGCTATGGCTGAAGACCTGAAGAATACCAAGCTAACCTGTATTCCAGCGTGGGGAGGGGGAGAGCTCACGAGTCCCCACTCCTGGCTGAGGCGCTATTGATAGTTGGTGGCTTCTTGGCTAGAAAGAGGCAGTTTCTTTAAGAGTATAGTCCCTGGTAGGCTGACCACACCCTGGTGGATAGCCCACACACCCATAATTACATGAGCAGAACACATTGTACTCTGGGGGTTATTTAGAAAAGAAAGATAAAGGCGGGGGTGGGGGGTGGGGGGAAGGAAGTGAGGAATGGGTTAGGGAGAAGCTAGAAGAAAGAATGAGGGGTGAATGTGATCAAAACACATTATATGTATATGTAAAATTCTCGAGGAATTAATGGAATAGTTTATGTAATGAAAAGAAGGGATACTCTGGAAGGTTTTCCAGACTGGAAAGGGGTGCTATTTTACCAGGTGCCCTTCCCTAAACCAAGTCATGGGCACTCAAGAGAAAGAAAGATTGAAGAGGTTGATGGTATAGGATAGAAGGGCAGTTCACTATCTAATTGGAATTTAGTGTGTGTGGAGCTGTGGTGAGCTCCAGAGTTGAAGAAAAGAGGTGGAAGAGAACCATCCTGGGAAGGATTCTTCGAGGACTCACATGAAATCTCTAGAATTGAGGTTGAAGACCAGCGGTAGAGTGAAGAGACAGAAGTGACAGTTGCTGTCACCCCCACTAACACTTTGGTCTGGCAAGGGTTTATGTGATTCCTGTGGATGGCAGGTCCATTGGGAAGTTCCATGTAAGAAAGGGTATATCAGGCAGCATTATGTCCGCAGCTGAGCTATGAGGTGAGCTGCCCAGACAGCCAATGAGGAGTATGGTGGCACCGATGACCGGAATGTCTTCTCTTCATCTTGTCCCTCTGCATGTGCTTGGACCCCAGGATCTCCAGAAACAAAGTGAAAAGGTGGTCGGCTGGAAGAGCATCTGTACCTTCTTCCTCTGTAGGTGTTTGCTGGTTTGTCTGTGTGCTTCATAGCTGAGGAAACAGAGGTAGAGACTTGGGATTTCAGCCAAGGATCTGACTGAGCTATCGTATGTGCTGCTGGGTTTCCCCCTCATGGTCTTGTGTATTGCATTTTCTCTGGCCTTCTTCAGTTTCACAATGGACTGTGACTCCATTTCCATAGCAGCAACAAAATGAAACGAGTAAATATCACTTCTTCATTAGATAGAGAGATGGCCTGCTTTGTTTGTGAGCTCTACCTGTGAGGACTCAACATGTTGAGATTAAAAAGCATTTGGAAAAACGTTACATCTGTACTGGACACTTTTTGTGCCCCTATTCTCTGAACAATACGGTGTAACAACAACTTACTCAGCATTTATGTTATATCAGGTATCCTAAGTGATCTGGAGATTGTCCAAAGTCTGCCCTGGAAGATTGCTCAGTGGTTCAATCCATGGTTCTGAAAACAAGACTATCACAGTTCAGATTCTCAGAATTCAAAGAAATGCTGGATGGGAATGGTAGCCCATTTGTAATTCCAGCCTTGGAAAGCGGAATCAGGAGGTACCAGGACTGAGCAGACTAGTGAGAACAACTGTATTGCTGAGTACTGGGTTTGACTGAGAGATGCTGCTTCAAAAGAATATGATGGATGAGCAATCGAGAAAGATTCTGGACATCAACCATGCACCTCCACATACATGTGTGCATGCACACTAGGGCACACATGCACTAGCACACGTGTAAACATACATGCACACATGCATGTGTAACACACAAATACCATATCTACGCAAAAAGAAAAAAAATACAATATGCCATTCTATATAAGGGACTTGAGCATCTGTGAACTTGGGTTTCCTCAGCACATCCTGGACCCACTCTCCTGTATATACCAAAAGATGACTTCATATACATAGGGCAGCTTATGACAAGGTAATGAGAAAAATCTAATCACAAAATGTAATGTATTGGTGGCGCACGCCTTTAATCCCAGCACTCGGGAGGCAGAGCCAGGCGAATCTCCGCAAGTTCGAGGCCAGCCTGAGCTACCAAGTGAGTTCCAGGAAAGGCGCAAAGCTACACAGAGAAACCCTGTCTCAAAAAAAAAAAAATGTAATGTATTTTAATCCTGGAATTGTTGCTTTGAGGAAACTTCCTCCTTAGATATGTAATAGATTAACAAAGAAGAAAGGATATTCCTTAGAGAAACTATGTAGGAGTTTTGTTCCTGGAAAGTTATGGTCTTTGAAGATAAGATAGACCCATGTTAAATTCCCAGTTCTCCCACTTGTTACCCCGGGCAAATAATTTCTATGATGGCATGAGAAGATTATCTGGAGTCACGCACCCCAGAGTGACTCAAGGGAGAGTCAATAAGTTCCTGACTTCTCCCTCGACTCTTGGTCTTAAATACAAATTTATATGATTTTTATTTTTCTTATTAAATATATATGTAAAAATACACTTTACTTATTTGGGTTTTAAGGGTTATAAATATAATTCTGGGTAAGTTAAAGAGGAGTATAAATTATGTTACAGTCTCTAATATCAGTATCCTAAAATGTCCTTTATTATAACATTTTGGGGGAAGGTTTTTGTGGAGGACTCTCTTTCATACTTTCTCTTTACTTGGACAACATCTTTTACCCATTACCCTGAAAATTGCTTTTTCTTCGTTTGAGGCAACTTTTGTTGCCAGAATGGGTGTGGTGAGTGGCGCAAGGGGAGTTTAATAATGTATTGTCAATTCAGTTTCCAAGACAAAACTCTGGTCCTCTGAATAATTTCTTTCCCTCTGGGCATTTGGCTTTGTGAGTGGGATGAGAGAGAGCTACTTACTGGACTGGAGGCTGTTCATGACGTATCACCCTGAGAGCTCTTCATGTTCGGAACAAATGCAGTGTCTGGGTCACCAGGAAGTCACATGTTAGAAACTGTCAACCTTTCTCCCCATCTCTCCTTATTACTTAAGGGTGTTAGCCAAGATCTCAACATCTTTATCTCCCAGAAGTTGGATGCCTGGGCAGCTTTGCTTCCTCCTTATCTTTCTGTCTCCAGAGCTGTCTTTCTTTGCTATTGTTTTTTAGGAAAGCATTGTTGGGTAAGTTTCAGAATTGTCTGTCTCAGCAAAAATTTTTAGAAACCTGGATTATAATGTTGATGACATCAGAATCAATGAGACAGAAAGAAAATCTATATCTGCATTTGATTTGGAGCAGAGTACAATGCAGACTTAGTCATGGAAGTTGGAGTGTTGTATTTCAAAGATCATCAGAAACCGTCATTCCCTTCAGTTTTCTGCATAGATAAGGACCTAATGTCTGTGAAATGATGGCTTCTGGTTCCCATTTTAGAATATTAACAACAACAAGGTTATGGATGCTTCTGATGTGCCAAATTCTATTTGGAGCATTTCCTACACATTTAATCTTATTTAAGCCCTACAACAACCATTTCTGGGTGAAGAAAATTATGTCCATGAATATTAGGTGACTTTTGCAAAGTATTGTGTTTACAGTGGTGAAGTTGACTTTGAACC